AGAGAGAGAGAGAGAGAGAGAGAGAGAGAGAGAGAGTGAGAGTGAGAGTGAGAGTGAGAGTGAGAGTGAAGTGTGAGTGTGAGTGTGAGATGTGAGGTGTGAGTGTGTGTGTGGTGTGTGAGTGTGTGTGTGGTGTGTGTGTGTGAGAGAGTTGAGAGTGTGTGTGAGTTTGTGATGTGAGAGAGAGAGAGAGAGAGAGAGAGAGGAGAGAGAGAGGAGAGAGAGAGAGAGAGGAGAGAGAGTGAGTGAAGTGAGAGTGAGAGTGAGAAGTGAGAGTGGAGAGAGAGAGAGAGAGAGAGAGAGAGAGAGAGAGAGAGAGAGAGAGAGACGAGAGAGAGTGAGAGAGAGTGAGAGACAGAGACATAGAGAAAGAGAGAGAGAAAGTGAGAGACAGAAGAGAACAGAGAAGGAGACAGAGAGAGAAGAGTGAGAGAGAGAGAGAGGCAGAAGTAGAAAAGGACGTAGTCATGGTGCATACACAATGTCCAGCCCCAACAGTCACGACGAAAGCATGCACAAGCGAAAATGATAATGATTTTTCAACTAACCACCCAAGTCCGGTGAAAATAATTAGCTGAATATGCAAAAAATATGATGTCAATAATGCGATATAATATAATGGACATTATTAGGAACATCGCTGCAGTCTTCCCGTCAATATTCCTCGCGGTTCATTTGTTTCGAGAATTAGTGGCGATGTTTCAGATGATGACGAGACAATTTAGTGATAAGACAGATAATGAAACCCTGTAGTGAATGGTTAGAGAAAATGAAGAGAAAACTGGCGATTTTGTTTCTACTCGACTAATCCAAACGCTACCAGACTTTTTTTTACTAATGCGGAAAGAGGGAAAGCAAGAGTAAATATGTGTGTGTGTGTGTGTGTGTGTGTGTGTGTGTGTGTGGTGTGTGTGTTATGTGTGTGTGTGTTGTGTGTGTGTGTGTGTGTGTGTGTTGTGTGTGTGTGGTGTGTTGTGTGTGTGTGTGTTGTGTGTGGTGTTTGTGTCGTAGTGTGTGTGTGTGGTGTGTGTGTGCTGTGTGTTTGTGTGTGTCGGTGCGTGTGTGTGTGGTGGTGTGTTCCGTAAGAGACAGAGACGCGGCGCCGTGTATAAACTCCGCAGAACACCTGCGGCGTGCACTGGAAGACGGCGCGAGCTGGCCCGCGAGGGGGAGAGGGTGGTGAGCCCGTCATCCTGCCGCGTCGGGACGCAACAGCCCGTCGTCTGGTGCGCCGGGTGCCGGGCTCACAGGCAGTCTCATGCAAGAGCTGTAAGAGAACTCCAAAATTCATACGCGCTGCTGCACGATCTGGAGGGTAAGGTTCGCTCTCAAGACGCACAAACACAAGCGGATCAGCCGCAATTCTCACATTCCACACACACGGAAGGGACGGCTCGCGACGATACGACGACTATGTGGTACGCTAGCTGTACATGCGGGGAGGCCCGGCGAGGGTAAATGAATGGGTAATCTTGCACCTGAGCGCATTGGCAGAAGGAAGGTACGAAAGAGCAAGATGAAGGATAACGGGAGGCGAAGGCACAAGAAGTGAGAGGTGTTAGTTTCCTGCTCGCGGTGACACGGAAAGTGGACAGATAGATCTGTGATAAATAAGTAAGTCTACGCGGCAGGCTCATGCGCACAACATCTCGCAGAGGCGAGTGCATTTCACTTTGGGCTTACATAGCTCAAAATATGTAGCTTCGATTGCACATCCAAAGACTATTAGTGCATCCAGTGTTTTTTCAAACGGTATGTCACAATGAACCTCGCGAGTTCCGTCACAATTTCTCGGATCAATTGCAGTCTTATAGAGCATGGCCGCCAACTGCGAGCAATCGTACACCAGGCACTTCACTGTAATTCTCTTACGTCAGGTGGTAGGAGAGTCACTGATTAGCGCGTACCGGGAGCAGTGAGAATCTTAAACCATAAATTTAAAACATATTTTTTTTTCACGATAAACATCTAAACACGCACGCGTCTGACGTCTATAACACAACAAGATACCGAGGCGATGTAACGACAAAAGCACACGTTTCTTTTTTCTTTTGCGTTGCAGATACAATAATAAATCATCACGCACGGTCTTGAGAATAGACAGGATTGAGAGGGGAATAGTATGCTGGTAAAGTACAGGTAGTGCATGATGGATTGACATTGAGTGAAGATATCAAAATTCAGATCCGAGTCAGCTGTACGATCTGTGGTGTGTGTGAGACCATAACAGAGAGGAGAGAGAGGAGAAAGAGAGAGAGAGAGAGATGAAGAGAGAGAGAGTAGAGAGAGAGCAGAGAGGAGAGACACATCGTCGCAATTGGTTAAAGACGAGAGCGAGAGGTGCAGAGGGCACACACCACACGGAGAGAGGAGAGGACGGAGGATGTAGTATGAGACATGAGAGACCACACACACAAGAGCAGAGTGTGAGAGCGACGATTTGAACGCACATTGGTATAAGGGAGCAGCGGGCGCAACTGAGGCACGACGGGAGACGGGATGAGAGAAGAGAGAATGGAGGAGGGAGAGAGAGCAGGAGAAGAGCGAGGATATATAGAGGAGAGAGGGCAGGAGCGGAATGTCACGAGAGAGAGAGAGAGAGCAGGGATAGTGAGAGAGAGAGAGGCCATTCCTGTGTATTGTGGTGATTGTATGTCGGGTGTCGGTGTGGATGTTGTGTCGCCACGTTCGGGTCTGCGTTCGTGGTACGCGGTGGTACGTACGTAGATGATCGGTCGCATGTTCGTTTGTGTAGTGTGGGAGGGTGGTTTTTTTTTTTTGGGGGCGGGCGGTTTGTTGTGGTGGCGGGGCGGGGGGGTGTGTACTGGTGGGGTGTGGCTGTGTGTGTGTGAAGTGAGTGTGTGTAGAACACAGAGGAGACGAGAGAGAGAGAGAGAGAGAGAGAACGAGGAGAAGGGAGGTACTACGAGAGAGGAGAGCACAGAGACGAGGGTCGCCGGCGGCTCACAATTGCACGAGCTGGAGAGAGAGAAGGGCGGAGAGGCAGGGAAGAGAAGAAAGGAGGCGTAGAGAGAGGAGACGCTATGTCATGGGTACTGCCGTTGTGTGGATTCGTCGTTGGTGCACAATAGTGAGATGGGATGTGTGTGTGTTTTGTGTGTGTCGGTGTGATCGGTAGCTGTGTGATGTGTGGGTGGTGAGTGGTGATGTGTGCTGTGATGTGTGGTTGTCGTTGTGTTGATAGCGAGTGTGTGTATGAGTAGGCTGTTTGTGTGTGTAGGTGTAGTCCTGTGGAGACTGTGTGTGGTTTGTGTGTGGGTGGTGGTGTCGATTCTGTTCGGTGATAGAGATAGATAGGTGCATGTCTGCTGTGTTGCAGATAAGCACGAGAGGCACGAGAGAGAGAAGACGAGAGAGGAGGGATTTGGAGAGAGATGGAGAGAGGAGCGGACGAGAGAGAGAGAGAGTAAGAGAAAGAAGAGAGTGAGAGAGAGAGGAGAGAGAAGAGAAGAGGAGAGAAAAGGGAAGCAGAGCGAAACTCCCCTACCCTGTCATAGCTGGCCCCAGACCGAAGGCAGAAGCGGCAGTGAGGCTGAGTTGGCGCGGTGGACTGCTGGCTGCAGGGGTGAGTGTGGCCTCAGTGCGGGCTTGTAGGGCACACCCTCGCCACTGGTTCGAGTGTAGCGTGGCGTCCCTCCCCCTTCATCTCCCCCTACTCCCCTCTCCCCCTCCGCTCTCGCCGCTCAACAGGTGTCGCAAGGATCGACACACACTTGGCACACCTGTCCTGCCACTCGCCCACGTGTTTGGGCGTTTAACAGCTGTTCAGAATTGCGGCATCCCGCCCATACACTTCCAGCACGACGAATGCATCTCGGAAGGGCTGAAGTCAAGGTACTCTGGCTGAAATAACCGCGCCCTTGATGACGGTCAGCCCCGCCCGGCGTGCCCTCGTGCAGTGTCATTGACTCGTGTCAATCTCGCTGTAGTTCAGATGCATTTTTAGAGCAGAGAAGCTGTCGTGTGTCATCTCTCTTGCCAAGAGACTCTCTGTGCTTTTAACATATGCATGTATTACACTGGCACTGCCAAATTTCTGTTTCCAAACCCATACACTTAGATTTTCCTTGTATGTGCTTCCTCTTCTGCAGTAACATTAACAACAATAATAACAATACGTCATCAACGAAAAAAAAAACAATAATACCAATATTTGGTATTATTGGTAATAAAAAAAACAAAAACAACCAGAATAAAGAAGGCAACAAACATCCTGTGTAAACGCAAATATCACGTGATACACACATGCTTATCACTAACACCATATGTGAGCCGGAAACACTGTGATTTCGTGGATAAGCATCACAGCATCAGGTCAAACACCGCGCGTTAACGAAGGTTATCCATTCGTCTAATATGGACTAATTGATTAATCCAATTGTCGTGTCAACAAATAAGGTCGTTGGGAGCGCGTTTTTACTGTCAGTGATAGTTCTGACTGTAAAATTTACCTGTTTTCTAAAGTTATGTCGATTATACAAACGAACGTTACTCTCGTTCCTCCTTCCGTTTTCAACAGTTTAGTGACTGTATCCTTCGCTATCGCATTTGTTTTCATCTTATTTCGGAATCCCGTGCTTTGTTATTGACATTTATCATTTTGCTTTCAACTTCGGAATTTGCTACTGTGTGCTCTCATCTTATCCTTGAGCATTGCAATTTACCATTACCATTTCCTCCCTTCCATCGAGACTGCAGCTTTAAGCGGTGGCGCTGCCTGGCCTCGGCAGATGGTGCATACGAAATCCTCAGAGACAATCTGAGAAAGTAAAGAAAATATGTTCACTACAACCGTACTGACTCATCCACGCTGCGCGAGCGCCGAAATGCAGCCACCTGGCGTTCATTTAAAAGCCGATTGCCTTTTATTCCTCAAATGAGGGAAGGAGAGTTGCACATGCCCAAATGCCCTTGAAGATGCAACGGCGAGTATTTCTCCCGGAGGCGCGGCTGGAGGCGCCGGAGCCTGGAATACTCACTGACAGGCTGGTTGAGAAGCGGTGGCAGGGCAGGAGGAGCGGGTACCATGGCAACCGCTTTCTCGCCTGCAAGTCAAGTGAATCGCGAGTCGCGCAACGCTCTTTTATACCGCCTCTCCTTCACTCCCGCCTCCTCTACCCCTCCTACGGCTTCGGAGGTGCCAGTCGTGTCAACATTTGACCTCTGCCACTCCTGTCATCAACGAGACCTCGGTGGTCAGCGCACTACGCCTGTTGGGCTGTCTCGCGAAACGCCTATTCTAATCAGCAATGTTACGTTCGTCAGTCTAATCATACAAAAGGGTATTGTAGATGAACATCCTAACGTAGGCTAAGTTTGGAAGAAATTGCCTGTACAGAAAGCGATAGTTTAGTCGAAGGATGGCAAGCCAAATATGCTTAGGTCATGCTACTGCACCAATACAATAAAAGAACAACTGAACAATTTCTTGCGTCGGATGAGTTTTGTCGCGGACAACGCGTGCTTACGTCCATACTCATCGGGATCGGAGTGGCTGTGGCGATTACTAAGCTACGGGTCCGCGATGTCTCCTGCATACGAAGTAAAGCTTTACTGGGTTAAAATGCTGACTAAGAGACAATAGCCGTTAACGTAGAACAATTTGTTTTTGTTTGCCTTGGGTAGATATGCATTTAAAATTTTTACTATTTTGGCCTAATAAAACATTTCAATAAAAGCCATAGAATAGTTGCTAGTTACTGGAAGTATATTTTCAGAGAAAAAATAAAATGCAATTTTCTAGGGACACCTTTCTCAGGTACACTGCGGAACCCTAGACTCAACTCAACATAAAAACAATAAAAAGACGTAACAGGATCTACACAAATTTTGACAAATAAAGGAGTGGCGACGGATTCTTTACAAGTGACTAGCACTTTCTCTGTCCTTTGCAGCGCCATATTAAAATGACGCATGCATTGATGCTTTAACGAAAACGCCACAGGTGAGCGGCTATGCATGGCTTCCTCAACCCGCGTTTCATTATCCGGAGAAACCCATTGCCCGTTTCACAATCAGGAGACCGTTGCTTAATTCAAGGTAAATAAACACCCGGCCGTCTATATTTTGTTTTACGGACTTCAAAACCTTGGGATTATCCCGCGAAGGATAATACACGATAAGAGCCAATAAAGTTACACTGATGCTTGTCAAAAATCGTGATTAAGGATTTCTCTTCCCGATAGGATTTGATATGTCGATTATTTTCTCGCACTGGTTGGTTGCGGTTTTGCCGTCGAGGGAATCAAATCCCTCTGATTCCCTTCGCCGCTTCCCTTTTTGAGAGCCAAATGCAGCACTTCCGTCTGTTCCACGAATTCTATCAATGCGCGACTTTGTATACACGTATTTTTCATGAATGAATGCTGCCCACCCGCACGCATACACACACAAACATACATACACATACACACACACACACACACACACACATACACACACACACACACACACACACACACACACACTCACACGCACACACATCACACATATTAGCGTAGATATCAAGAATTTTGTATGTTTGAATGTGACTGATATGAAGCCGCGAAACATGACACAGAGACCTAAAACGAGAGGAAATCCCGAGAGAGAAGCAAGGGCAACTCTCCCCGACTCTGACGTTCTCCGATTCCCAAGCCTCCTTTTCATTCTAATCATCTGACCCTTAATATCACTGTTCACATAACTTGGCTATTTATAAAATTATTTTGCATTTTATTGCTTTAATTTCTTCTTCAAAGAGATTGCGCGTGTGTTCCACTTATATCGATTTGTACTTGAGCTGAACTGACCGACAGAAACTGACCACCTACCAACTTTACTCATCAAACCTACAGCAACAGAGAGTGAGGCAACTGAAGCAGCGTTAATATGCATGGATGACTGGTATTGCCCTGCATCTTTTTCGAGTGCTTACTGCATGGCCCTCTCCTTAAACCCTCACTGATGTCAGAACTGTATATCGCATTATAATGTGGGAAGAACGAGAGGGATAAGGCATGCAATCCAATCAACCACGGCTGTTGTCACGCTGACCCCACTGTCCAGCTCTGCATAGGTGTAGGCTGCAGCGGAGATGGGAAAAGTTGCCGAGGTTTCATGTTCTATTCAGCCGAGGTGCAAATAGATATAATTCGACACTAGGCGAGTGTAAGTGGACACTCTGAGTGTACATATGTGTGTATATATGTTCATGTGTGTAGGGGGGGTATGGATATGTCTATGTATATGCATGTGTCACTCACTCACACACACACAATTCATATATATGTGCATTTATATATATAATATATATAAATATATATATAATATATAATATATATATATATATATATATATATACCATATCTATACAATCTACACACACACACATACAAACACACACACACACACACACACGCGACACAAAGATATCTACACACACACACACACACACACACACACACACACGCACACACACAAACAACACACACACACACACAACACACACACACACACACACACAT